AAAAAAAAAAAAAAAAAAAAAAAAAAAAAAAAAAAAAGCCACCGCCCATGGAAGACTTTTTCAGCAACTCTGTGAAGCACCTAAAAGACCTATTTGTACGCCCTCTATGTGCCTCCTTACACAGGGGAATACAAAACGAAAATGATCATATGGCATATACGGAAAATCAAAGAGTATAGAGGACAAGTCTGGGTGTGCCCTAAGTTCAGGGGCTTGCTACAATATAATTGTTTCGATCGGCAACTCGTTCTCATCTAAGCGGCTATGCCGGAGTGGTTAACGGGTCAGACTCGAAATCTGATGGGCTTTGCCCGCGCAGGTTCAAATCCTGCTGGCCGCGCTTCAACGGATGATAATTTCTAGTGTTTATGCCCTCTCCCAACCTGTTGATACCTGCAGGACAACGGTTCGCTTCACCCCAGGTCTCATGTGTCAAGCAAAATATATATCGCCATACAGTATATAGTTCCACAGGGACAAGGTCCTGGCAGTCCCCACTTGGCAAGATCTGAAGTCACTGGCCGTTGATTGTTTTTAACTTTTTAAGCAACCGTCCATAATAAAAAAAACATAAAATCCTCTCTTTTTTGGATGTTTTTCCTTTAAGAACAAAACAAAAGAAAAAAAGAATCCAAGCAAGTGGATGGCTCCTCACCCCGGGGGCACGGTCCCACCAGCAAAGAGGAGTGGATTAAATGCCCAAATCATGACGTGAGAAATGCAGAGATGGAGAAAATCAGACAATGATCACAATTTTCTGCACATCTCCACAAACACATCCAGATTCAGGCATTAAACCTGCCAGTACACGGCCCCAGCCTTGCAGAAAATGTTCCGTCTCCTACTCACAAAATTCCGTGGCTCGGGCTTATCCAACCACAATGGCTGGCAGCGCCAGCCAAAAAAGAAAACAAAGTTCGCCGCTGGTGGTTCGGAAAAGCTTGGCGAGCAGCACAGCGCCTCCAGGCCTGGGTGTACTGGGGCAAGGATTGGATTAAGCTCCTGAATCTGGATATGATTTTAGCAGAGATGCAGAAAATCAATTCAATTTCAATCTCAATTTTGTGCACATTTCCACAAACACGTCCAGATTCAGGCATTCAGTCCAACCCTCCGTGCAACCCTTCGTCCAATCATTGTTGCTAGTGGGACCTCGCCACTGGTGGTTTAAAATTTAAATCCAATCCTCTTGGCTACCGTAGTGGGAAACGAACTCTCACTTGCAAGTTGCACATTTCTCGCAGGCGTCCAGATCCAGGTGTTAAATCCAAGAAAGAACTTGGCGTTCCCTTTCCTGTTTTCTCAAGTTTTCTGATAGCCCCACTCAGAAGACATGGCAAAATGGGGAAAAAAAAAAAGAAAGAAAAAAAAAAAAGAAAACGACAAGCAGGTTTGTGAGGCTATATACAGACCAGGTACCTAGAACCTTTTGTAGCGGTCAAGAGACTTGGCTGTCGAGCCTGAGGTTGCCGGTTTGAATCTGTGCTTTCGCGGAGGGCCTTGGACCCGGATGTAAGTATTTATAACTACTGTGGAGGCTCCCGCAAACCTGCGGGCAAGCTAAGACCTGTGTGTGTGAGCGGGCTAGGTACCAGTGGGGGTCACGTGCTGAGGGGAGCGAAGTGTGCGAGAATTGCCGCATCTGTGTGCTGCGCCCATGTGGTGTTGTGAGCGGCGTGTTGAGTTGGACACTACAGCCTTGCGGGGGTGGGGTGGATATCAGGGCTGACATGGTTCCACTTTCGAACACAGTGTCCTGGCTGGCGTGGTTAAACGGCAAGTACACGGCCCCAGCCTTGCAGAAAGTTTTTGTCGTCACAAGCAAAACTCGGAGGGGCCGAGCGGCGTGGGGTGCCGCTGAAAAAAAAAATCGGCGGCCTCCGAAGTGGTGCGGGGTTCGTGCTGACACCCGTGGGCCGATGTGCGGTGCACTGGTGCTTTAAGAGACTTGACTCTTGAGGGAGAGGTCACCACTTCAAATCCGTGCTGGCATGGGGAAGGGCTTGGACCCAGACGTGCGGATCTATAACTACTAACTACTTTTCAGCTGTGGGGTTGGGTAGATTCGATTGAGAGGGGGGATGAGGGGGGTAAAAGAGAGCCGATAGACAGTTATGTACGGTCCAATTCACTATGAAATCGTATGAATAGACTTAGAACGTAGAAGTTAAAATAGCCTTTCTTTGAATTGCTGTAGAACTTTCCTTACCTCCTGAATGCACTCCACCCCATCGAACGACGGCTTGCCCATAGACGGTGTGACTCGATACCATGTCTTCCCCATGCATCATGGTGACAGAAAACCGACCATATTCATTGTGACAGAAACACACGGAAAGGGACCACATGCATTAGTCATAAACAGACCATTCACCATTATGCAAATTTCACATGCCTTAAGAAACAAAAAACAAAAAACAAAAAAAGGAAAGTAGCAATTTGTAATGTCAAACATTATGGACGTTTTCCTTCCCATGAACAAAAGAGCCTAAGGGCCTCGCTGCACGGCACAACTAACGAAACCAAACGATCACCAGAGTCGCGAGGCCTCACGAAGCCCTGATCCACCGTTTCGCTTCGTTTTTTGCCTCACCGCCCCACAGCACGCACGAAAACTCTAGCGACAACGCCCTGGCGACAGTAGTGGGGGATTCGTTTCGCTACAGTCCAAATTTGTGGACGCTACGGTCCAAGTTCTTGGATGGACTTYGTTTGGAGCGATGCAGCACACTCGTGAAATTTCGCAGCTCCTCCAGCCTACCAGCGGAGGACCTACGAGTTCGCGAGGGCTGCAGGCAGGGAGGAGGCGGCACACTCGTGGGGCCTCGCGAACTCGGAGGCTGACAGCATTCACGAGTTTTTTCTGACACAGTTCGTGTGGGTGCTATGCGGCGACGACTCCACGAAACGAAGTCGTTTTTTTTGTCGTTTCTTGCACCGGCGAGGCCCTAAGGTATGGCCAATACTTTCCTCCCTTCTTCTTCTTCTTCTTCTTCTTCTTCTTCTTCAGCTCCTTCTTCTTCTTCGTCGTCGTCTTCTTCTTCATCTTCCTTTGTCCGTGAACACAGACCATGAACCATTCATGAAGAGGAGCAAGCCCAATTCTAAGAATGAACAACAAAATAACAGTACAAAGAAAACGCTGAAAAATAAAATAACAGTACAAACTTACTACCAACAAAACGCTGAAAAATAAAATAACAATACAAAGAAAACGCTCAAGTATAGACTAACCCTTGCCCAAAAGTCTTGACGCCATTCAGAACAATAAGCCTTGGTCCGGAGCAACGATAAATCTGATAAACCCTAACAATTTCCCACAGCTAATCCTGACTTCAGACGTCAGAGGATCTGCAAAACGATGCTGCCATTCTTCTGAGAACTTTGAGAGAGATTGTTCGTTCATCTCGACATTTTGGGGGGGTTGCTCAGAAATGGTCATCCTCTCAAATCTACCTTCTCCTTCCCATTTTGTTTCCCCTCGAACAGCAGTCTCTTTTTGTATTTCTCTCCCCCCCCCCCACCCCCCCTTTCTTTTGTTTTGCTCTCTGCACTTTGCAATCCAGCTCACCGTTCAAAGTTGAAACTTGCGATACACACACACACACACACACACACACACACACAAACTTACACTTTTTGAGAGTGCTCCCCAGACTGTGGATCAAGACAGGTTAAAAGGGAGAAGGACACAGGTTCAGTGCCTTGGCCACAGGGTGGCCTGACGTGCTTTGAAAAACAAGAGGGGGGAGGGGGGGGAGGGGGGGGAGGGAGGAGGTATGCAAATCACCAGATCAGGGCCATTGTAAGGCACAGCCATGTTGACAATCTGAGCAGCGGACAGTTCATCTTCCAACCACGACTTAACACTCGCTTCAGTCCTCAGGATCACAGGCATTCGATCTGCACAACAACGACTTCAGGATTATTTACCTCCCCCCCCCCCCCCCCCACCGCCATCTGGTGGTCCATTTAAGAGGACCTAGGTACCCATCTACATCTCCCTCCCTCTTCACCCTTCATTTATTTCCCAAGAAAATGTCAGATCGGTGTGTAAAGCCGTCATCAGATGAAATGTCAATAACACTCCTCCAAAAGACTGCAGCAGACTGCTGTTGGATTCAGCGGGCCGCTCCGTCAACGAGACGGTCCAATTCGACAAAAACAAAAAGGACGTGAGAGAAACACAAGCTTAGCTCCAAATGGTAGACACATGGAAAGAGAAGCTGGAGAACCCAGTGAGGCTGAAACTTCCCAACTTCGAGGACGGAAGAACAGTGGTCGTTTGCCTAACCAGCAAAGAAGATTCTCCAGAATCTTTTTGTTTACCTTTTTTTTCACTCTTTAAAGTTTAAACCACCACTACCTTTCCCATACATCAGCGGTGGGCGACAAAGGCTGCCGACAAAGGCCATCCTTCGGCGAGGCACCAAAGTTTCGAAGGCCGGTAATGCGACAAAGGCCGCCGATGAAATTTATCAGCGGCGACCAGATGGCGACCAGATGGCGCCCTGACCCCCGAAGGATGCGGTATAGGTTAAATTCCCTCTTGGAACTACAGCCTAAAAGGTAGTGGTGGTTAAACAACATGAGAACGCAGATCAATCAAGAATACGGTTTTTATCTTTTTGTCATTTTTTCGATAATAGTTGTTAAACTATAAAATCAATAAGAACAAGGCAGTTAAATACTGAAAGGTGTTGGCTTGCAAATACAACATAGGGTTATTTGCTCAAATGCCCCTTTTTGTAATCACCCTAGCAACCCTTGCACATCCCCCTGAACGTGCGAATTAGGGCAGATGCATGCTCTGCACCTGTAGCATTCAAATGCAGTCTGACAGGCATTGGAATAAAAGAAGGTGATGTGTGCTGTTGGAAAACATTAGAGAAACTATTTCTAAAATTCAAAAGTGAAAATTCGGCGAAAACTATAGTACATGTCTAGGGTACTGGGGTCGCCCAGCCATAGAGCATGGGCCTGCAACCCAGACAAGTCGCCTGGGGCTCACCTGCAAGGAGCACCCCGTGCAGGCAAAAATCAGCCCGAATCCGTGCTCCTTTCATTTTTCTTTTTTTTTGGGGGGGGAAGGCAGGGAGGTGGAGGTTTTCCGTGCATGGCCAGAGGAGCCCGAATCCGTGCTCCTTTCTTTTTTCGAGTGTTGGCAGTCAGGGGGGGGGGGGGGGGGGGGGGGGGGTGCGGATGGGGTATAAATTGGTTTTTAACGGGCTGAAGGGGTGTAAGGGGGGGTGCCTTGTCTGATTCTGTTATTTTCTTTTTTATCTTGAATTCCAGGAGGGATCCTGATGTGACCGTCAGCCAAAAGTCGTTTGTATTGCAATTCTACACAACATATTTTTTTCTGGAACTTCTTTTTTTTTTTTTTGGGGGGGGGGGGGCGCTGGGCTGCCCAGAACTTTGCCCCGGGTTCATGCCCCGCCAGGCACCTGCGAGTGTATCCAGGCACAAGTTGGGTACCCAGGCACCCGGACAAACAGCGGGTTCAGCCTCCTGCTGAGTCTGTGATAACTCCGATGAAACAGTTTGTCACAGCCCCTCGTTTGTTGTCCTCTTCTCCCTCTCTGCCGACGGCTTACCGGGCAGCTCTGTTTGACTATATATAGATAGATAGATAGATAGATAGATATATCGTCAAACAGAACTGCCCGGTAAACCGTAGGCAGAGAGGGAGAAGAGGACAACAAACGAGGGGCTGTGACAAACTGTTTCGTCGGAGTTTCACCGACTCATCAGTAGGCTGATATATATATATGATCCACTTAATCTATACTAAAACGAATCATAACTTAAGTAATGCAGGAAATAAATTAAAAAAAAAAAAAAACACCAAACCCCTGAAGCCTAGCCATAAACCATTGGTAGCTATCTCATCCTCTTTGTCAGTTCATGGATCAAACTAACCCTCTGGCAGAGATTACTCATAAAAGAAGGATAAGCTCATTAGGACCTGGAGGATTAACTCAAAAAAAACACATCGAGGCAGGCAAGTGCGTCTTGCTACTTTTTTAAAAATATTTTATTATTTTGATAATGTATTATGCATGGTCTGTGTGGCTGATACTCCATGCAGTGAATGTTCGCTTACCATGCAGCCACTCAAGTGACTTTGAGGCTCGGGTTGTCACTATCGTATAAGTAAGCAGAGGTCGACCTGCAATGCAAAAGGTCCAGAGAAGACTTTCTGAGTGTTGGCATCGGCGGCAAATGGCTCTACAATCTCTTGGCCCAATAATGATCAAACTGCGTCACGAACTGAGAGAAGCTCAACAACTGAATACACAGATTGACCACATGCAGATACACAGACATCAGCTGCAGGCCAACAGGGAGAAGGGACTGACGAAGAGAGAGGTAGCCGGAGATGCATGAGGGGGAGAGAGAGGGGATCGGCAGCAGATAGCACTAAACCCTGTTGATAGAAAACTTGTTTACAGAAGATTAACTAAACTATCATTTAAGAACTGAGAGAAAAATGATCTGCAGCAGAAAACGTAGATTTTGCATGTGTAGGTGCACAGGTATGCGCTGCCAGACAGCATGGGGAAGGCAGAGAAAGAGAGCCAGAGATAATACATGAGACATGGGAAATGCAGCATGCGTGTGTGTGTGTGTGTTATAAAATATCACCACAACGTCCCCTAATCCACCGAGATGAGTAGATCCAAAGCATACTCGCAACCGCACGAGCCGCCCATTCATGCGGAGTTCCATGCGGGGGGTGCCTGTGCGGAATCGTGCAGGCTTTTTAGTTTTATTATTATTGTTTTATTTTTTTTCTGGGCGGGGGAACAGGGGGGCGTATGACAGGAAGATGGGGATATGACGAATAGAGGGGGATATGGAGAGGAGGAGGAGGATGCGGACAAGGAGGACGAGGAGGATAGCAAGGACGACGAGGAGTCGAGATAGGGGGAGGAGAAGAGATGGACGGAGGGAAAAGAGGAAGGGCAGGAGGAGGAGGACGAGTGGGAGGAGGAGGAGACATGGGCAGCGAGGAACGCGAGGACACGAGGAAGGGAAGGAGACAAGGAGGCATGGAAGATGAGGAAGTACGAGGAGGAGGAGACAAGGAGGATGAGGAAGAGCAGGAGGCGGAGGACGAACAGGAGGAGGACAAGTCGGAGGAGATGAAAAGGAGAAGGGAGGAGGAGACATGGAGGATGAGGAAGGGGAGAAGGAGCAAGGTGAGGCAGTACTCCTGTAATTTTTTTTTCATCTCGCTTATAATTTTGGCGGGGGGCCTCAAATGCACCATTTCGACCCCGGCCTTTTTTTTCTGAGGGGGGTGACAGGTCGTTCCCCGCACACGTCCTGCGCCGCACGGGATGGGTTGGGCGCGTGCGCCGCAAGTAGGGAACCGCCCGCACAACGTGCGCTCGCAAGTATGATCCGAAGTCATAGCAACTTTACCTGTATTGCAGACAATGAAGCATTCTCACGATGAGCCAATCCACCAATGAAACAGTTTTGCTTGTGAAGTCAATATCTATTCACAACTTACCTTTAAACAAGCAAGGAATCTCACCTTTACACAAGCAATGCAACACACTTGAGATGGGCCAACCCAGCAGTAAAAACAATCCAAGACACAAAAAATTCGTTATATCGTTTTCTTGATTATATTTTCATCGTGTGTGTGTGTGTGTGTGTGTGTGTGTGTGTGTGTGTGTGTGTGTGTGTGTGTGTGTGTGTG